TGTGTGTGTGTGTGTGTGTGTGTGTGTGTATTATAAACTTCAGGTATGTATATATCCTTTATTACCCCCTTAGTATCTATAGAATCTGTGGTGATGCCACCTCTCCCATTTATGATATTGATGATTTATGTCTTCTCTCTTTTTTTCCTGATTAGTCTGACTACAGTTTATCAATGGATCTCAAAGAACCATTGTTTGGCTTCAGTGATTTTTCTTTATTCTTTTTCTGTTTTCCATTTTATTCATTTCTGCTCTAATCTTTCTTACTTCCTTTCCTCTGGTTATGTTGGGATTAACTTACTCTTTTTCTTGCCTATTTATCTAGAAACTGAGTTCACTGATTTGAGCTTTCTTTTTTCCAATATAGACACTTAGTGCTATTAATTTCCTTCTGAATATGGCTTTAGTGGCATCCCATAAATTTTGATATGTTGTATTTTCATTTTCGTTTGATTCAAAATACTTTTTAATTTCTGTTTTGATTTCTTCTTTGGACCCTAGGTTATTTTGAAATATATTATTTATTTTCCAAATATTTGATGATTTTACAAAGAATATTGATTTCTAATTTAATTCCATGTGGTCAGATGAAAGCAGTAGAGATAGAGAGAGTGGTTGGATTTTGATATATTTCAAAGGTAGAACTAACTGCATATCTGGCATATTTAATGTGGGATGTGAAAGAAGGAGACAGGGATATTTTCAAGGTTTTTGGCCTGAGCAACTGGAAAGGTGGACTTACCATTAATGAGATTTAAAAAAAAAAAATACTGAATGAAGTGAATTTGGGGAAAGATGATCAGGAACTCAAATGTGACATGTTAAGTTTGAGATGTCTACTAGATATCCAAGTGGAAATGTTAAAGTAGGAAGTTGGCTCTATGAATCTGTAGTTTGTGGGAGAGGTTTAGTCTGGAAAGTCAAATAAGATGAAGACTAAGAACTCACCTGAATTTAGCAATGTACATACTTTTGGTGAGTTTGACAATAGCATTTTTGCTGGAATGATCGGCACAAAAGCCTGATTGGAGTGGATTTAAGAGAGAATAGGAGGAGAAGAACTGGAAACAGAATTTAACAAATGTTTCAAGGAGTTTTGCTGCAAAGGCGGAATAGTGAAATGGAGCAATAACTGGAGGGGAAGGTGGCCTCAAGAGAGAATGTTTGACAAAGGGGGAGATAACTGCATGTTTGAATACTGATGGGAATAATCTAGAGAGAGGAAAGAGCTGATAATATAGGAAGTAATTGCTAGAGCTGTGTTCTAGAATAGATGAAAGGAGAGGGAGCTAGTGTATAAGAGAAGGCACTGGCTGTATGATTATGTAGGAGTATGGATAGATCATCTATAATGTAGGCAGGAAGGCAGACTATGTATGTGCAGATGCTGTTAGGAGCATAAGTCTGATGGTGGAAGTTTATGGAAGTTCTCATCTGATTGCTGCAATTTTGACAGTAAAGTAGGAAGCAAGGTCATCAGCTGAAAGTGAGGATGAGGGAGGTAGAGTTAGAATTTTGAAAAGAGAGAAGGTGCGAAATAATGAATAAGGAGAGTGGGAGAGTAAATGGACAAAGAAAATGTAAGTATAACTGCTCAACATCATTAAGAATCTACTTAAGATTCATGATCATGAATTCAAGGCAAGTCCAGTAAGGATGCTTGGGTGCTGCCTCTAGCCACGTTCAGGTGCACAGGTGTAGTCATGGATCAGGCAGATTCAACAAAAGTGAAGTAAGTGGGGGACAAGGGACTTGAGGGTATGCAAGGGAGTAATTAAAATAGTTAGCTATGGAATTTAAATTGGGCAAGAAAGGAAGATAAACATTAGGGAAGAGGGACTGTGACATGGTGATAGGATCAGCGGATCGTAGACCAGTGAGAATGAACAAGGGTTGTGATCAGAGTACCTTCTAGGAATGAGCTGTGAACGATAGGAGGGGATGGTCAGGAGTGGGTGGGGTTGCAGTTATTGGTAAAGACAAGGTCTAGAGGAGTGCTACTCAATGAATAGGCCCTGGATTGGTGACAGTCTGTGAAGTGTCTCTTACTGACCTGCAATGAGGTAACTCCAGAAATTGAAAGTAAATGTTTAGAAAAACTGCTGCAACATCCACAAATATGACCAGTGGACTTGTATTTGGAATGCCTTTGTTTTTTAAATCTCATTTATCTATTAATTTGTTATTGTATTTTTCAAAAGTATTGGTCTGCAACAGATTGGAACAAACAAACAAAAATCTTCCCCACAAACAAAACTCCTTACCCACAGCTGAAGTGCTGCTCTCATGTGCATAACCACGCATCGGTGGGTCTCCCGAGGGCATCAGAAGGGAGGAGTTTGAAGGAACAGCTCCCTGAATAATGAACTCATCTCTAGTCTTCCAAGGGAGAAGGCTGCCTGATTGCACAATTCTGGGGACACCATTCTCATTGTATGTTATGTGAACAATTGACTTCAGATACAGAATGAATGGTGCTCTTAGAGTGTTCAAGGAGGTGGCCGTTGTTATCTCCATTTTACAGATCAGAAAACAAACTCGCAGAGGTTAAATAATTGCCAAGCATCATACAGCTACTAAGGACAGGAACCAAGATTTGAACCTGGGTGTGTCTGTTATATCAAAGCTGAACTCTGTCCACAGCCCTCTCTCTCTCTCTCACATGCTTATAGTTATAGGGACAGTGTAGCCGTAAACCTCATGAGAGTGGGGGAAAAGGCCTTCTGGAAATGTGTTGTGGTCCATGTGACCAAGCCGGGCATTTCAATTTCTTGTAGAGTCACGACTTGTTATGGGGCTGTTGTAATCCATGGCTAGTCACTGTCCAGACCCCTGTGTTTCCCGTGTCTTTGTAGAACCAAGAGGCTGAAGCACCTCAGGATTCCAATATCCAATATCACCACAGGATTTCCTGCTGTTTTTGTCCTTGTGCTTTAGTGATTACATGTGTATTAAAAGCATCTTCCAAATAGTTGTTTGTGGAATAGTAAGATTATGAGTAATTTTAATACTTTTCTTTTTTTCTCAAAATTCGTGTGATGGATACATTACTTTCATAATCTGAGAAAGAACTTCTATGATCTCAAGTGGAGATCTATACTGAAACCCTCTTGTTCATGTAGAAGCTCTGTAAGACTCTTGGGTCTCTTACGAGGGCTGTGCAGGTCCACTCTCCCACTGAGCCTGAGTCCCAGATGTACTGGAAACTTCAGCCTTTCCGGAATAGTAGTATTGGTTGTTTCCCACTTTCCCCAGGTGCAGGGAGTTTACGAGGAATCCCAAAACAAAGTAAGCGTTAGTCTCGTAGGGGTTTCCTGGTTTCCTTCATTTCTTGGCTCTCCAGTGGGCCTAGGCAAGTACAACAAAAAGAGGGTTAATTTATAAAGATCATCCCTTTGACACAAGATCTGTGAACACTGAGGTAAGCCACTTCTTCTGGAAAGCCCTCCCTGGTGCTCCAAATCTGTACACTTATACCACACATAGACACGGCATGGGAATTACGGGTTTACGTGTGTGGATGGCTCACTATGCTGCCTCTGTGAAGGCACGGCCTGTGCACAGCACAGGGCCTGACACATGGTAAGTAGTAAAAATGAATCAAATGCATCAATGACAGCTGACACTCGGCCTGTATAGGTATTTTTGTGGTGACGTATTTAATTTTTTCTGCCTTAAGAAATTCACTAGCATTGATGTATGTTAATGTATATGAAAAGAACTTTTGGACTGACTAGAAAAGACTTATTTTTATATTGAAATACATGACTTTCATCCAGGGAAGATATAGAAGAAATAAAGAATCCACCAAAATAAGCAAATATATCTGGACAGGATAGGATATGATCACTCAGTTTAGCTCTAACAAATCAAAATATCAAGGAGAATTTTACTTTAAAAAAAATAGTACTGCAAATCACAGTTTTGGTGTTGTGGAGAGAAGAATCATTAAAATACTTTAATATGGTAAAATGCTAATCATCACAGCTGTTAGTTGAGAGTAACTTAAAACCTTTGGTTGGCTTCATAAGCATAACTAGAGTTTTCAAATGCATGTTATTAATTATTATTATTCATGTGGGGTTAAAACCTTATCCTCTTTTGAAGATTGTCAGTATGGCTGAATTTTAAAATATGCCTAAAAACTGAGAACTACCAAATGGAAGCTTGCTATTCTTTTCTCCCATCTCGCCAAATTGCTCATTTCATCACTAAAAAATGCAACTGACATGCTGGGCAGGCCAGCTATACAGTAAGGTACCAAATGGAAGCTTGCTATTCTTTTCTCCCATCTCGCCAAATTGCTCATTTCATCACTAAGAAATGCAACTGATATGCTGGGCAGGCCAGCTATACAGTAAGGCTCACATCGTTTAGTTTCATAAATTTGTATTCCAGTCAGATGGGGAATGCTTCGATTTCAATATGTACCTCATTGATATTAAGGGCCTAGAATCATTCTAATGACTATGGTAAAGATAAGGTATTTCTCCCTACTTTGTCTACAAAAACCTTGAGAAACTAGCAAAAGCTTAACTTTGATATTTAAATAGACAATTCTTCCTCTTATAGGTTTGAAGACTAAATAAAATATAGAAGACAGTTACATATCTAGTTTTTTTATTATACCTTTTGAAATAATTTGTATATACCTTTTAGTAATTTCAAGTGCCACAAAAAATAACGTTAATAGCTCAAAATCAAAAGTTAAAAAAAACCTCAGTATAATTTTTAAAATCTTTTTCTCCTCAAGCGTTTTACGATGGGATAATGAGACAGATGTCTCTCAACTGGAAGGACATTTTGACATTGTTATGTGTGCTGACTGGTAAGTACATAAAAATCATAAAACTCCAGTTAGAAAAAATAGCTTTGCTGGGGTAATTGGGCTGTGCTGCTTTGCTGACGGCTAAGCAAAGTCAACAAATGAAGCACAAAGCCACCTTAACCTCAACAAATTAATATTCATCTCCATGTGACAGTTATAAGGTAGTCTTCTATCACACAGTAACTTCTACCACATTATTTCCCAAAGATTGATTTTGAGAAGCATTTCCATTTTCTGGAATTGCCTCTGTTTCATGCTTGACGTATCAGTAAATGGACGACTTAGGCAAATTGCAAATAATTATGGCTCAGAGAGGAATAGTCTGGAGAAAAAGGAGTTTATCAACACAAACAGCTCAATTAGCTTACTTCTTAGGAGAGATCTGACTATTGATATAAAGGAATATATATGTGTACACACATGTATACTGTCCAAATAAACATCTGTGGAATATCTTTGGGGAAATAGCTTTTCTCAAAATGTATATTTGCTATCATATTTTCAATGTGTTCGATTATGACATTCAATTATACATAAAACAAAAATTATAAAATAATATTTTATTCTTATGCAAATTATAACATTAAAATCTGTCAGGTGCCTGCTTTTTAAAAATAATTTACATTAGATGTTTTGTCTTCTCTTTTGGGCCTAATCTACTTATTTGTTAATGAAAGCCTGATCCTAAGTTACAGGATAAATATGTGTCAGACCATAATAATTATTTCAACTAGTCTTATGTATTTTTTAATGCAATTTGAATAATTATTTTAGCATATGGGAAGCATTGAAATTCACAAGTATTTTTTCTGTTAAGAGTAAGACCTTATTTTATCATGATGTTTATTATGACACTTTAGATTTGAAAACACAAGTTCAGATTCTGAAGAAGTTCTATTATATTATATGCCTAATTATAAGATCCAGAATCCAGAGAAAACTTTCCCTAGAGGAGAGTTGAATGAAATTTTCAGGAAGTAGGTTTATTATTATTATTATTATTTTAATACAATTTTCAGTGGGTAACTTTTCTACTGAAGTCAATGGAATTAGATTTGCTGTTTTTTTCTTCTGAAAAATACTTCTCAATGAAAAATAAATGTTTTGTGCTACTTTTAGCTGAGACTTTATAGTTTTTCATGGCCCTTTTAGTCTCTTAGCACCCAACTTCAGAAAACCTTGTTCCAAAAATGAGAGAAACCTAGATTTCTGACTAATCATTGATAATGTGCCTCAATGCCACATCCCTCATCTAATCAAAAATAAGGAGCTAAAACCTCACCGTATGATTTGAGCAAGTAATTTAGTAAATGCCTTTCCTCGCCAAATATGAGAAAGGATCCTCCAGGTTCCATTGCACAGATGAAGATAATGCTGGCAGGATTAGATCAGATTAAGCATGAAAGTCAGCTCAGAGAGCAGCAGCAAGAGGGAGGGGGCAGCATCTTCTTGAAGGTTTAGACGAGGGTCACACACGGATGAGCTCGATTATGTGGGGAAAGGCAGGTCTGGCCAAGAGATTTAGAGTTAAAATTGTCCTTCCCACAAATATCAAAACAGCCTGGCTTTGTCATACCTTGTGTTATGGACACTCACACCATGTCATCCTATTTGTACCAGAGAGACAAGCAGAGGAAGTAAGATTTAAGCTCTTTTCTGATTAATGTTCTCAGTTAGGTTAAAAATAGCCACACAACATGTTTGAAAAATAGTCTTTTTTTCCCTGGCCAACAACAGGGTCACATATAACTGATATACATAATGCATATTCAGTTTAAGGCTTTCATTACAAATACAAAACATAATACAATATTATATGTACACACACACACGCATCTAGTAGCTATGTGAGAATTTATGGATTCAAATGAACGAAATACACAAAGCTTCATTTTATAAATGGCTTTTCTATGCATAAATTGTTGTTAAGGTTTTTTTTGCTCCTGGTGTTGTAAGTGCCAGAACGTCAGCCTGTTTATAATTTCCCGTTTGTAAATGTGAAACATTAAGCTACTCCCACTGCAGTGCTGATATTTTTCCAAAAGAAATGCTTTGGTAATGGTCTGTCTTCATATTCACAGGGATGATAAGCTGCTTAGAAACTTAGAATGTATAGTAATGTTTATAATATGCACATTGTATATATAGTGGTGAAGCTCAGGATTCCATGAGTTCTTTACGTCCTGCTGGTTCGGTGTTTCTCTCTAAGAGTTATTACATGGATGCTGCTGCTAGGGGCATTGTATATATAGTGGTGAAGCTCAGGATTCCATGAGTTCTTTACGTCCTGCTGGTTCGGTGTTCTCTCTAAGAGTTATTACATGGATGCTGCTGCTAGGGGCACGCAGGCAGGCAGACCATGCTGCATTTTTTTAGAATGTCACAGAGGAGGAAAAGAAATCTCTCTGAGATGCTACCTCCAAGATGAAACCTGAAATACTCAGTGCCAGAAAGAGGTGCCACACATAAATAGATCACAATAAGTCTCACACCATCCTTCAGTCATTGTCAGTCAATGAGATCTGGATTAGGCCACAGGAATATGAAGCAAGAGTCGAGTTCAAATATTAGGTACATGGATTAAATTCTTAGTGAAGCATTTCCAGCAAGGGTGGCATTGTCTGATTCCCTGAATAGCTAACCAGTGGTACTGCTTGATGCCATTTACATGAAAACAAGCTCTATTCACAAACCTATTCCAAACCTACATTGTGATTCAAGTAAAATGCACATGATTACAACAAGCAGTGATATGTTTATGTTCTTAAATCATTCATATATTCATATATTTACATTCAAACATTCATAAACCTGTGGGCAGTGGGGGAAATAACTTATTTCCTAGAAAAGACAGTCTCTTAGTTTACATCTAAATTTAGAAGCTCACCTTGATTATAAAATCAAGAGGCAAACTGTGAAAGCTAGTCATTATTTCACCATTCGGCATTTTTGACAATGAAAAATAGCTTCATGGTTCAGCAATTCCTAAATAACTTGTAAAATGTCAACTTTGAAATAAACAGAAGGAAAAATCAAGGTACAGCCACACCTGCAAAAGGATGCTGTTGACAAACATCAAAATATTAGAATATTTAACCACAGGTGTAGAAAAAAAATCCTGCCTATTAAGTCCCACAGTTGACTTGTTTAATGTTGAGTTTAATATAAGGATTCTTTTCTGCTGGAATGCAGTCCAGGCTGGTCCTTGCTGAGTTTAGAATAGCGAGTGATTGTTAATTTTAAGCCTGCCTTTCCAGACTCCTGTTCAATCACAGTATAATCTAAGGGTCTGGAAGTAAGATGTTTTTTATCCAATGAACGCTTTCATTCAGTGTTTGATGGCTCTCCAGTTTATTGTAGCTCTGCAAAAATAGAAATGACTCTGTACATTTGAATTCTCAAAAGGCTTGGAAAGCATATCTGAAATGCCACCCATCACCTGACCCATTGAGCTGGCTATGCAGGACAATGAGCACATCTTGTGCCCACAGCCCCAGATTTTGGAAAGAAATGGGACAAGGACATCTGCCTGTAGGACGCCCCTTGCTTGCTCTCTCACCATTTTTACACTGGCTGTGTCCTATAGATGGTTTCTTTTTTCCATCCTTTTCAATTTATACTAAATGATGAAAATGTTTAGTTTTTAAGGTGTTTTTGTGAAAATGTGTTTTTTTTTTCTCAAAATGGAAATACTGTAGGCTCTAGAATTTGTTTTCTTCCAGATGCTGTGATCATCACAGTCACAACTCACAGACCTTTACACATGAAAAGATCTTTAGCCCAAACATGGCCAGCCTTTTCACTTCATACCAAAGAAGACTCAGTCCCACAGAAAATACATGAATTGCCCAAGATCTCACAACGCATGGGGTAGAGCCAAGGGAGATCAGAATACAGCATCATTCTGAGCTCCCACAAAAATCAGTGGATAAATACTGAAAGAGGCCATTGCTCTGCTGAAGGTTAAATCTAAAACAGAGAAATTAAGTTAGCATATTTCACCTTGAAAATTACACAGGGGTCTTCCTTTCTGTGGATATCGACAGAAAGAAATTTCTCCTTGTTCTCTGAACTAATTGATTTCCCTATGAGAAGAATTACAGATGCTCTGTCCTCTGCATAAAATTCTGATTCTAAGGGAGGTGATGAAAATGGTCCAGCACCTTTCCTTTGCCGGAAAATCTGTGATTCAGATCAGTGGAACAAAGCCGGTGTGGAATCCGCGAGTGAATTATACAGAGGGGTGTGTGTGCGTGTGTGTTTTAATGGCCAAACTAGACTGCCAGTGTATTTTGATCAGTAACTGTGAAGGGAGAGTTAAAATGGTATCTCCATCCCCATCACTGACCCACTCAGCCTTTTTTAATAGATCCACTTAAGCTACTGCTGTTCTCTGAGCCCATTAGGACTTATTTAAGGGGTGAATTTTCAGGAGATTATATATCACTCTCACTAAAACACATTGAAATTGCTCGTATGACATACCCTACAAAGCGTTATAAATTCTGCACCAGAGCAAGGTAGAATCATGAGCTTGCTTGGAATAAAGACCTGTTAGAGAACTACAAGAATTACTTTTAGGAAATTTAATTTGGAGTGAGGAAGTAGACAACATTACCTTTCACGTAGCTGTGTTTGGAATGTGTGCTGTGCATGAAGCCTCATTTTCCAATGAGCTGTGATGTTAACGTCTCTGTCACCAATACCAACATTAAGTAGAAATAGCACTTTATAAGGGCATATTTTAAGCTCAGCTGTTAAGGTGCTGTTTATTCTTTTCTAACAATCTTACCGGCACATAGGATGCACAGGTATAACTGAGAGTGGGTCTTTGCTTAAATGCTGCATTTGCTAACCAGCCAGGTTTCCTATAGGCCTGAGTAACTGACAGAGATATTTTCCCACTGTGATAGTCATCTTTAAAACAAACAAACAAACAAAAAACAGAACCAGACTGCTTAATTATTAAAACTTAAAATATTATTACTTCACTAAAGAAAAGATATAGATTCCTGAAGAGCAAACTTTTTAAAAAAACTTAAGTTACAATTTGGTTCCTTTCTCATCAATCTTTAATGGTTATTAGTCACTGTTTAATATGACTTAATGGCAAATTTGTGGATTCTTTTTCCATTGAACCTATGGTGACCAAAGAAACCCAAGCACTGACTTCTTGGAAACTTCTCATAAACTTCACTCCTCGGTCTTCTTTCTCGAATGAAAGAATCATCAAATTGGAAGAGAACCTGGTCTGGTGAAACATACTTCCTAAATGTTGATTCATCCTTCCCACCACTAGTAAAGGCATGCATGCAACCTGTTTTAGGGTAATTAAAACTAACACCCTACATAAGGTTCTTAATTTCAAGGACTGTGATGATCTGCCAGTCAGTCAGCAAGTAAATATTTATTGAGCACTATCTATGTGTGTGCTGTGCTGGAACTAATGAAGCGTAAACTAATATGGAATGGGAGCTCTTGGACGATGAGGATTTTGTCTTATTCGTAGCTTATCCCCAGTGCCTAAAATAGTCCCTAGTATGTAGTAAGTGTTCAACAAATATTTGTCAACTAACATATATTTTTAGTTGGATGCCCACAACAGCCACACAGGTGGGCCTTTATCGACAAGGAAATTGAGGCCTCTCATGAAATGACTTGCCCAAAGTCACTTAGCGGAAAGGTCAAAGCCAGAGCTCTACTAGATCCTGAACCAAGCTCCTCCCTTGTTCCACACAGCAGCCCCTCTGAGCAAGGACAACAGCCCTCCTACTGATGGCTGATACTCACCTTAGCTCACAGAAGGATGAGGCAGGGCTCTTGAGTAGGTGGTACTTACTCATGCCATGTGAGGGGTGGGGAGACCAAAGGGACCCACCTGCAGCATTCGGAATGGGAGTAGGGGCCTCACTTAGGCCTCTCATGGGATGGCTGATGCACCAGGTTTCTGGGTGTTCTAGCTTAAGGTGTAAGGGACCCACTGCAGAAGGGGAAATCCAAGTTGTGAGTTAAACAGTTTTCCACATTGCCTTCCAGATAAATGCATTTGAAATTGTGTTATGGGTTAAGATGCCTTTCAAAAGTTATTCTGCTGTCCCTGCTTTTTAAAAAGACATCACTGTCAATTTTTATTAAGTAGAAGACAGTCCTTTTGTTTCTTATTTGCTTTGTAAAACCTCAACCTAGAAGTGGTGACTCTAAAACTGAAGATGTATGTCTCATACACTCCTTAAGCCATACACTGTGATAATGACCACCTACCTCTACAACACTTCACAGGAGTCAATCAGCCTTTCAGTCTCCTGTGTCCTCAGCTCTTTTCCACATGCTGTAGATGAGGCAAAGAAACACAAGAGATGTTCTCTGCCTTCAAGAAGTTTAGAGTTAGAGTCTAGGTGGGAGGGTAACTCTGGAGTACGGGAAACTGGGAGAGCCTCCAAATGCTCTCTTTGTGGTACTGAGCTTAGAAAATGAAGAGATCACTGTGGATGCAAGGAACCAGGAATGGCTTCCTAGACCAGCCTTGTCTAACTCCAGTCATCTGATGACCTACCTCTCTTGCATAACCTGTCACTGCTCAGGAGTAACTGGAATTAGATGTAAGAGATGTTATGGAGCAACGGCTCAGAGCACAGACCCTGAAGCCATACAGTGCAGATGTGAATCCCAGGCCTGCCAATTAGTAGCTATGTGACTCTGAACCTCTCTGTGCCTCAGTTTCCTTAGCTGTGAAATGTGGACTATAATAGTAATAATAACAACAATAGAAACTACCTCATAGGAATGATGTGAGGATTAAAGGAGCCTCTCCGTGAAAAGCTCATAGAAGGTATCTAGTACTCAGCTCAGTAAGTATTCACTTTTGTTATTAGAATTTGAGCCTGTCTCTGACATTTATATCTAATCTGTATGTACTTGTGTCTGGCTCACCTCTCATAAGGACAGGCACAGGACCCACCCTTCTTCTCCCTCATCTCTTTACTGCCTTTCAGTGCTGTATATACAGTTGGAATCCCATGACTCTGGCAACCAGACATTGTGGATATCCCGGACTGTTTAGATTTCAAAGGTTCAGGTGCATTTTTAGAGCTCCAAAGTTCATGTTTATCAGATCATGTACCCCAATATGGGGTTCAGAAAAAAGTGGTCCTCACCAAAGGATATCATTGGCAGACTCTAGCAGCTCTGCTTTCTCTGTCAGTGCTCAGGAGCCCTTCTCCAGAGGCCACATGACTCCCGTGGTGCTTGGCAGCCAGCTCTACCCTGTGTGCCTTCAGCACTGGATGCTTTCACCCCTCACACCTTAATTCTGCCTAGAAGAAATAAACTTGGCTTTAATAAACGTCCTAGGTGTCTTGGTCCATTTGTGCTGCTGTAATAGAATATCACAGACTGGGTAATGAGTAATTTATAAAGAACAGAAATTTATTTCTCACAGTTCTGAGGCTGGTAAGTCCAAGACCAAGGTGCCGGCAGGTTTGGTGTCTGGTGAGGGTCCAGTCTCTTCTTCCAACATTGTGCCTTGAATGCTGTGTCCTCCAAAGGGTAGAAACACTGTGTGCTCTTATATCAGAAGGCAGAAGAGCAAAAAGGGACTAACTCCCTACCTTCTAACACTGTTGCACTGGGGATTAACTTTCCAACACATGAATTTGGCGGACACATTAAGACTATAGCACCAGGTATGGCAAAGTTAACTAACTTGCCATTTACTGTCAAGTATCCCAAACATGGGAGTCTGGGACCTGCAAGTTTGGATAAAGTTTGGATAATGCAGCATTTAAGCAAAGACCCACTCTCAGTTATACCTGTGCATCCTATGTGCTGGTAAGATTGTTAGAAAAGAATAAACAAACTTATTTTGTCACAAACTTCCAAAATAAGGCCCAGTGAAGACAAGGTCAGACTGACCCAGCCAAAGGGGTGACAGTACAACAGAAGAAATTCTTAAAAGACCAAGAAGAAAAATGAGAAATCAGAGTGAATGAGGGAAAAAAATCAACATATAGGTCAAGGAAGAAAAATCCAGAGCTACTGTGGTCTCTGTGACATAGTGCCTAAGCCTGTTCTTTGTTTTTGGAGCTGTTCACTCCTAGATCACTGGTTGAGTTTAACCTCAGAACTGTTCCCAGTCATTAAAAATGATTGCTCCCGAGATCTGTGCCATGGTTTGGGTACAATAGGGCTGGCAGTTTGTTTTTGGAGGATGGAGGGCCCAGGTCTGCAGGAGACTAAGCTCCAAAAAGAGGAAGTGCTGAGAGTGCTTCATCTCAACCAGATGACTTCCCCAAATGGCAGTCTAGAAGTTGTCCCTTTAACATTAACACATGGCCCAGTCATGTGTGAATCTTGGCCCACTGCATGTTGATGACTTAGCTTTAGTTGGATAACACTGACCAAAATATCTCCACCCCCTCCCTCCCCCAGTGAGACACCTGAATGGAAGGAAACAATTTCTCTTTTTTACTGTTGGGTAAACATGTGCAATTAGCTTTGTACTTATCTCCATTAGTATTATTAGACTTGAAAACCCAGTTTAATCTGGATTCTACCTCTTCTCAATGTCAGCCTGTTTCTGGACCAGTACAGAGCCAGCCTTGTTGATGCAGTAAAGAGATTACTCCAGCCCAGGGTAAGTATGTTTCTATTTTCTCTGAACACTGGCTACAGAATAATTAGTCAGTGCACAAAGATGGAGAGAGTAATGGAATGGCAGGATTAATGTTATGTAATACTTTAATACTTATTATGTCCAACTTCAATTGGGTCTTCTGATCTATCAGATTCTTTCCTAATCATAACTAGGAAACTTCTTACCCTTGGCCTTCTGATAAAGAACACAGTGGGCAGTAAAATAAATGAAACTGCTTCAAAGATAGTGTGAGATTATTTTTATCAAAGAATTTCTTGAGTCTTTTCCTTTGATAACAATATCTTCATATTAAAGCAGACGTATGATATTGAAAGTTTTCTGTTGACTTCTGTCATTTCTAATCCCTTCAACGACAACCTTTGTCATTAGGTATTTATTTATTGCAAAAGAATACTTTTTTTATTTCTGTTTGAAGAAAAAGGACTTCAGATGAATCTGTATATTAAAAGTTCTTTACTTTTAAAGGAAGCCATTATTTACATATTATAAGCATTAGGTCACAATGAAGCCAAGCATGGCATAAAATGCTGTGCACATTTTTACATTTATATATCCATTTATGCCTGTGAGTAAATTACAGAGTTTGTATCCACTCTTATTTTGTTGGGCTGTTACTAAGCTAGGAGATCCTGCAGCCTAAACCAAGAGTTAATATACATGTATTTAAAGTAAAAAAACGAGTTTAGAGCTCATGCATTAAAAAAAAAATAGAAAAATTTAAAATAGGTTAATAATATTAATGTAGTCTAAGACAGGAACTCACATTATCTGAGTAGACTACTGTGTGTGTGTGTGTGTGTGTGTGTGTGTGTGTATGTATATGTTCTAAAGGTTTGTTTCTAAAGTCTTTTTTAAAAGAAGGCTTGCTCTAGCCTTCTGACTTCTGTGAGACTTACAGACTTGCCTTTTAATTTTTCTTTTATATCTTTTTCACACTGAAGTTTCCCAGAGCAATTTGATAATCATCCTTTGCCTTACACTATTGCTTTTTATTTTGCTATCTCTATATAGCTCAGAAACTTTAAATAGGCCTCTTGGAGGAGTAACCACAGCTTTGTAAGTGGTAATCAATTCAATTAAATTGTCTGCCTCAATTCCCCCTGTGAAGTGGGTAGTAGGTCGTGAGGCAAGGAAGGGGCATGTTGCAAGCTCTCAATGGCTGCTGCCACAGTTGAGGAAACAGCCCAAGTTGAGGGTGGAAGAAGGAATTTGGGGTCTCTTCATACCCCCATTAGCCTCGGTGATTCCTGTGAGCATTTGCAAGACCAGGATTTTCAGGAAGGGCAATGAGACTCTTGGATGTAAAGGACTTGATGAAAATGTATCATGTATAAATACAAGGCTGTCAAGGACTTCTGGATCCCACACTGCAAAACAGTACTTCGCTCATCACCAACATCCCGTCAAAGCCTATTGGTGGCAAATACTCCATTTGGCAGCAGATTTGCATGATTTACCTAGGATCTATTGTAAATCATGCAAATGATTTAGAGTAGAAAACTGTGCAAGCTGTGAATAGACCTAAACACAGATTGGACGGAATCTCCAGCTGCAATTCTATACCCTCTATTAAACCCTGACCCACGCTCCCTCCATCTGAAGTATGGCTCCACACAACAGCTCTCCTGGGTGAGGACAGCAGCCCTCACTGACAGCTCATACTCACCTGTAGCTCAGAAGAGGATGAGGTGGGGCCCCAAAGTAGGTGGTCCTTCCCCATGCTAGGTAAGGAATAGGCAGACAAAATCTGAGGGACCTACACCAACCTCCAGCATTCAAGTTAAGAGTAGGGGGCCTCACTTAGGCCCGGTGGAATGGCTGATACCCCAGGCTGCTGAGTATTCTAACCTGAAATGCAAGGGGCCCACCATCAGAGGGAAAATCCAAGCTGTGGAGGCCCATAGACATGATGAAATTATGACCCAGGAGCCTAGTCCCCACAGGGAGTTCTGGGGAGGTAGGGCACTTGCACTCCCTGGGCCTGCCCCCAGATGGACCCTAGAAGGGTCATGTGGACTTGGCAGTGAGCAGCAGTAGTTCCCTATCTGTGCTGGTAGGCTAGAAGGGTTCCCAAAGCATGAGGGTTACCAGAGGAAAAACTAGACAACTTCTTAGCTTTCAGGTCTGGCCACTCTGCTTCCAAAGGTCCTCCCCCTACTGAATGTACATGTCATGGCCCAAGACTGAGTAACATTCAAGGTTTTATTACATTACAGTTAGAGCTGGTTTTAATGTTCTCTTGAGCCCAGACAACTCCTCCATGTTTCTGTGGCCCACAAGCTGAAGATGCCACAAAAGGCCCACAAAGAAACAACATGGATCATTGAACTTTCAAAAGGAGAGAACAGAACTGAGGGTTACCAGAGGTGGGAAAGGGAGGGGGGGAGGCAGGGTAAGAGAGGAATTGGTAAAGGGCCACAAAAAATGGTTACATTGTATAATGTTGAATATACTAATTATCCTGATTTGAGCATTGCATATTGCACACAGGTATTGATTCAACTCTGTACCCCACAAATATGTACAATCAACTATGTTTCAATTAAGAAAAAAAAACAGAAAAGAAAAAAAAAAAGAAATAACATACAACATGGGAGCTGTCCTGGTGGATCCTCAGTTCTTGATGATTCCAGTGTGTGATAACAGCAAGTTCTCAGGGTAAAAACTACACTTCAGCCAGATGCTTCAGGTTCATACGATGGCCCCAGTTTCTGAAGGTAAAGTGTAGTGGCTGGAAAGAGTCAAAAAAATCTGCATACAAAACCTGGGTCTGCTCTTCCTAACTACCAGGCCTTTTTGCATCTGAGTTTCCTCACCTGTGAGAAGGCAGGGTTAATTTCTACCTTGTGGGCTGAAATAAAATATCTACATTTGTCAATGGGAGGTGCTCCATAATGAGAGCCGCTGCTTTTTAATTGCTGTTCCAGCTTGTCAATGTTAATACACGGAGACACTTGTTCAAAGGGACGCTGGCCTGGCTGACAGGAGGCCTGAGTTCCAGGCCCAGGTGAGCACTAACGGGCCCTGCAGCCACCTCTCTCACGCTGTTTTCTTCAATGAAGGTAAAGTGAGGGAGCTCACCCATGTTCTCATAGGGCTCTATCAGCCCTAAAATTCTAAGTCCTCCCTGCAGACAGAAGGTACGCCTGGACTCTGGAGGCAGAAAGTTTAGGCTCCAATCTGGGCTCTGCCACTGATGGAATTCATCTCTGGAAGCTCAGTTTCTCATCTGTAAAATGGGGACTGAACAAGCCAGTGCATTGTAACGCACATGACTGGCTCTGAATACCTATTCAAGATTAGCTCTTGCTACCTTGCAGAAGAAGTAGAGAGATTTTCTGACTGTGATGAATACAGAGTATAGGGGGCTGTTTCCAGGCATTTTCCTTGGAGAAATGCTGGTGAGCGGGGAAGACCATTTTTTTTTTGCCTGGACTTTGAGAATTGCTACATATAACTGGGCATGCTGCATCTCTCCTGCACATCTGTCCTGAATACCTGCAGCAGGCCCCCCACTGGTCCTAGGAGGATTGCATACCTGGATGAAGACCACTTTTTACTATAGTCAGCCCCCACGGAGTAGAGGGAGAGAGAGTACTACATTGGCAAGAACCAAATAATTGCAAGATGAAGGTTCAAGTGTCAAGCTGTGGGAAGAAATGAATTCTGCCATTTGGAGTGTGGTTGCTAGATTTCTAGCTTGAGCAAATCAGCTGTCTGGAATCAGAGGGTCCAGAAGCAAAGAGAGTAGATGGAGTGGGGGGGAGTTTCCCTGCTTCTCAGTTTTTATAATGGAGTCATGAATGAGGGGAAACAGGCCCCCAGAGAGAGCTTAGCCCCCAGGGTGGGCTCCTGGGTTGTCTCACAGGCAATGTCAAATCCCAGGGCTGAGGTTAGATCTTCAGCTGAATAGGCACCTGTGCCTGAAAAGTCATTATGGAAGCCCCAAATTTCAGCAGGGAATGTTTGTCACTTGTCCAAAATGGAAACTTTCCTTAACTAGCTGGTTTAGAGAAACTGTAAAGACAGTTGACTCCTGCCAGATTACTACAAGGGGCTCTCTAGCAAACTTCAGGTGGAAAGAATAGAATAGAAATTTAAAAGGAAGTCAGCAAATTTTACTCATTCCAAGAAGCGACCCACCCCCACCTTGTTCCCTCTTGTTTCCCTCTTGCTTCTTGTTGCTGATGATTGATAGGGTGACTCTCTGTCACTGTGCTCCTTAAAGTCTGTGACAACAGCAATGTCCAATATCAGAGGACTCAAATGTAATTTAAAATAGAGCCACAGCAGCCTACAAGTTGAACTTTAGTACAGAAATGACAAGAAACAAATTGTATCTCCTCATGTTCCTCTGAAATGGCTTTGGGTATTGGGGGGAGCCAAGCAAGCTCTGTAGGGTGAAGGCTGGGGACACAGTATTGACAGCTCTCCAGCTTGTTATCACTGCTAACCAATTCTCAAGAATTCAAAAATATCCCTGTGGAATTCATTTAACCTTCTTCAGGAGCTGACCACCAAATTCCTGGAGTCCTGCCGATATCTCAGGAGTGCTGTAAATGTAAATCATCGCCTCTCATTTGAGAGGAGCAATTTCTTTTTATTGATAGAGTTCCTCATCTTTTTTAATCACCTCTGCCCACATCTGCACAGACATCTGTTTTTGCTGGTTTCGGGGAAGTTGCCTTGTGTATGTGGGGTCAGTGTGGTGAGCTGAGATGGTGCGGAAGAACGCCTGGGTTCTTGCCTGCGTGCTGGGTCAGAGGCCCAGCAAATCCTCACCTGTTCTTGGTGAAAAGCTGTTCAGCTACACCTAGCTCACTCAGATGTAGGAGAGCTCTTGAAACATGGGGTGTAGCAATAGAGAGCCCCTGAATGGCTTTAAGACTCTCAGAGCAGGGGCCCAGCCCTAAGTTGTTCTTTTCCCAAGTCTGCCCAGGTGCTGACTCAGCAAGTACAGTACTGTGTGCTCAGCAGAG